CATATTTTTGGATATTTTCCAAAGGATTTAATCAAAGTAGTCCATGAATATACTAAAGAAGAGCTACAAGCTCCAACAGATGTAAGTTGTGGATTGCTTTTTTGTCCTCACTTATGAATTGGCTTATAAATTTATCAGTGATATTCAATTAACTATTTTTGAATGTCTTTTGGTCAAGGAAAAAAACAAGCTAGCATGCGTGTATCAGATTTTAATTCGGAATCAGACTACCTCTTAAAAAAAAGTTTGAAAAGAATTTAAAGGGGACCCTGTATCATAATCTGATGGTTATACAATATATTCAAACAGATGTTCTTATACAAGGCTGTGTACTCTTATACAAGGTTTTTCTTTGCAGCTTTATATGTGAAAATTAAGAATTCAATATGTCTGTAGTTAGTTATTAAATTTAATAGATAAATAATTTCATTGTACAAGCAAAAGGGGAAGGTGTCCCAATTTGAAAACTACTGATTGAGCAGCTATTAGACATTTTAAGTGTGTAGAAATCACGTTAAATTAATCAAACCCTAAATTACCTACTGGGCCAGAAATGCAAACTTAGAAGAGTTTTCTTAATATCTAGACTTTAATGATTTAAGGGATTATAGCTATGTTATAGATGTGGAAAAGGAACCTGAGAGTTTCAGGTGACGACTGGTCTCACATCTGTAAGGCACTGACTGCACATTCTGTAAAGTGTTCATCTGTGGTGCACTGGGATAAAATCATTTTGTGATTAAAAGGATTTTGTGTTCTGGAATCCTCATTCCAGCTGATTATTTTCTAGAAGGTTTAAAATTTATAGTAATTGATGCCCACCTTCATTCAAAAATCTCTGAATGGCTCTTTGGGATTGCTGCACAGCATGCAAACTGCTGGGCAAGGGCAATTCTTAGATGAGATTGACAGAATGGATGAAGTCACAGAGCTATTGCTATTCCTAAAATTTAATGATAATACCAGGGGCCATAAAATCAGCCGTTCTGCCTGTTTGGCTTCCCCTCGAGGAAGAGACTGCCTAGGACCTTGATTTACAGTAAGGTATGTACTTCACTGAATCTTGTTTTCAAGCTGTCTTTATGGCAGTGATAACGTGGACAGCCCCCTTGATGTCATTCTTTGTCCCTTTAAATTGTTACCTCCCATGCACCTGTATCTCAGTAAGGTATTTCTTAAGCTTATTTATCTCTCCCAATCCAAGGAAAATATAAGCGAAAAATCCATGTAGACTTAGAGCCTGACAGCAAGGTGATTCTTCCTGCTTCTAGCTGGGTGAGCAGAGAGGTACAGTGCAGAGGGCACAGTGGTAGAGAAGCTGGGTGGTCTTCTGGCTTCTCCTGGACAAATTACTATGAGGTGAATTCCTGGAACATCAAGCATAGATATTGGGAGTTGAGGAACCCAATAAATGACACCCTACTTTTTCCAATCTGTGCTCAGACCGAGGAGTCAGGCAAATGGAGACCAAAATGCTGCCATTACTTATGGATAAAGTTTTTGGGAGAAAATGACTCAAGAAATAATGGGCTTTCTAACATTGCATTCTAGACTAAAGCAGACTTATCCAGCCACAGACAAAACTAGCCAATGGGGTTCCTCCCCAAGGGGATTGTCCCTACAAAACGGACAGCATGGAGGAACAGAATACATATGTTTTCCCTCTGGCAGGTCCAAAACACAACACAGGGATGGGGCTGAGCATAACTCACCAGCCACATGAATCATTCCTTCCCTGGGGAAGAGAGAATGAAGCGAAGCCAGGAGTACTACTTGGGTGAGAAAGTGGGTTCCAGCCTCCTGTCCCCCCACTGCCTGAGAGTAGTCATCACCCACGGTTGACACAGGAGCCCCTCTAGAGCCAAAATGAACTTAGGGTTTTCTCTGTCAGTAGCATGGTAAGAGTTTGCTCTTGTGCCTCTTGGTTAGTGACACATCAATGTTTTTCTTTCCCTTACAGGAGACAGATTTTGTTTGCTTTGATGGCGGAAGAGACGATTTTGATAATTATAATGTAGAAGAACTTTTAGGGTTTTTGGAATTATACAAGTCTGCAACTGGAGATTCTGGGAAAGCTGTAGAAAAAACTTCTCTGCATGTGCATGTGGAAAAAACTCCTGAAGTATCTAAGGAAACTGAACCTAAACCTGAACCAGAAGAAGCCAACTTAGGGGAAAACAAAAGTGTGTTTCTAGAAAAGACTAATGGTCTCAAGGAACGGTTTATAGCTGAGAAGAAACATGCAAACAGTCAAATGGGCGATTCTAAGGGAGAGCAGTCTTTGTTTGAACCTCTTGAAGAAATGCTGCAAGATCAATTAAAAATGCCACAAAGTGAAAACAACAAAACCAGCAATAGTTCTCAGCTTTTGAGTGAACAGGAGATTGATGCTTATAAACTTTTGCAAAAGGACATGACTCTGGACTTGAAAACCAAATTTGGCTCAACTGCTGATGCACTTGTATCTGACGATGAGACAACCAGACTTGTTACTTCTTTAGAAGATAATTTTGATGAGGAATTGGATGCTGAGTATTACACATTTGAAAAAGAAGAGGAGAATAAAGAAAACTTTGA